ATTTTCATTCTTACTCAATAAGCTTTAGTGAAATCCTTAGTCAGGTATCTTTATGGAAAATGTCTTTATCCTTTGTTTTTAATATCCTAGGTTTCTTTCCTTGCGTCTTGTCTTTGTGTGATATCACTAACTGTTCTCTTGAAAGCATGTTTATTTAAAACCTACCTTATGGAAACTCTGTGCTCCAGGCACACACAGTTAAACTAGACAGAGTATGATCTTATCTCATGTTTGTAATAGTAACTCAAAGTTTAGTTTGACAACAGTGTCCACCTATTATAAGAAGGAATTGTTTCCTCAAACTGAGAGAGAGAGAGAGAGAGAGAGAGAGAGAGAGAGAGAGAGAGAGAGAGAGAGAGAGAGAGAGAGACACATAAATATTTCAGTATATTTAAGAATACTTAAACATATACTTAAATATTTTAAGTATGTTTCCTACCTCCTTTCCCGAGTTCTTTATAACATTTTCCTATTTAAATCTGGGATCAGACACAGACTGTTTAGGGATCTAGAATTTCAGGCAAATGGATGACCACTCTGTCTCAACTGACAAAAACTTCAGCTTGACAACATGCTGATGACTAGAATTTTTTACAATGATGTACAAAGTTTAACTACATATTATGCCAAAACAGCTTGATATGCACTACCACCCAAATTTTCATGTAAAGATAATTAAAATTACTCATCTTTTTTTGAACAATGAATACAGGAATTAGGAAACAAATTATATTTTAGTTTGTAAAAATTAGGTCCCTCTCTTCTTCTTACTACACAAAGTTATACCTGGCTCAGGCATAGTTTTAAAATGGGTATTCTATCTTTTTAGTAATGATATTAAAAGCCCAGTGTTCTCATCCAAGTGAATGATCTCAACTTTAAAATGACCCTAGTTGACCCTGAGAAGCATATTGTACCTTAATTTCCTCATTAAAACTCCTTATATAAAAGGTAGATATACAAAAGACCTTAAGGAATTAGAAAATCACCTAGAATCACCTCAGAGAAGTATGTCATGGTGAATTTTATTATTTTTAATATAGTCCAACTTGCTTACTTTCATGAGGGCCAAGAATGAAAGTCTTTTTTTTTTTTACTTTTAATTTCTTTATTGATTAAGTTATTGCATATGTTTTCTCACCCCCCCATTACCCCCACACACACCCATACCCTCACCCTCCTGGTGTCTGTGTTCATTTGCATATAAGTCCTTTGGTTGATCTCTCCCCCTTATCCCCTCCCTCCCCTACCTTCCCTCTGAGGTTTGACGTTCTGTCTCTGGATCTGTTTTTGTTCATCAGTTTATGTTGTTCATTATATTCCATAAATGAGTGAGATCATGTGATATTTATCTTTCTCTGACTGGCTTATTTCACTTAGCATAATGCTCTCCAGTTAGTTCACTGTCAACATTTAGGTAGATGTTCATTTCTAAATGCATTATCTGTAGATCCCCACCCTCCGGCACCCTACTCACTTCCACAAGAAATAGTACAAATTCTGAATTGTTTACTGTTTTCAATTCTTACAAATAAATGGGAAATCAAGTATGAGAAAATTAAAATTGCTATTGTCAATGTATACTTTTCTCAGCACCCTATAAACAACTAAAGTTCATTGCACTAAATGTAATTTTAGTTTTCTTACAGAATTATGAGCTATATATTTTATAAGATTAGAGCCAATGTAATAAAGTTGATAAATATTTCAAAATAGAAATAACCCTCAGTACCAAATTTAGTCTCACATTTAGATGGTGGGAACTTTTGCTGTGTTAGATAGGTTATGTTGTGGTAATTGACCCCCCTCCCCATAGACACACACACACACACACACACACACACACACACACACACACACACATTATAGAGGCCTAGAAGAACTGATTTTCTCTCTAATCATATACTAATTGAAAATGTTTCTTATCCTCCTTCATTTCAGAAATAATACTATGAATATATAATCTACTTAGGCAACTAAACATACCAGTTTGATAGGACACAGGCATTTCAATGCTAAAAGTGTTAAGTCCAGGCAAACAGTTGAGGTAGTCACCCTAAATTCACTCTACTACAAGTGAACCCATTTTACATAAAGAGCTATTTTTCTATTTCATGAATGAAGTTTGAAACAATAAATGCTCAAATCTGTTTTCAGACATCCACAGATTTTTGAACAAATGTTTGTTCCTTAATCCATGTATTCAATGGGAGGTAGTATTAAAAATTCTAAGTATTAATCTGGGGAGATTAATAATAGCTGAGTGTTTTCATGTAAACTTTTTAACACCCCTATGGGTACAAATAAAATTGATGGAGAAAAATCAATATTACCCTGTCACCTGAGGTCATTGTGGAATTTTTGGCATCTTAATGATAGAGAGAACCATTTATTCTACTGGAAATTCATTTCACTGTAAAATAACTGAATTCCACAAAAAAAAAATGCCAGTCCTGCCATACAATTGATTCTGAGTCATTACATTTTCTATTTAAGATTATGAGAAATAAGAAAATAGTGTTTTAATAGTCAGTGAATAGTATATTAGTTACCATGTCCACTTAAATTCTGGATGACTACTTTTTACTCATTATCAATATTTTTGGAATCCATATCCAGAAAGAATTTGATTTATTGAAAATCATTTTTTAAATAAAGTAGCAGTATTCAGAGGGGAAAAAATTAGATTTGTGGTCAATTTAACAAATGATTTTCTACATAAATATCACTACATGATTATCAATGGTTTAACATCCATTTATCTCTTAGGAATATTGTCTGGAAATATGATCCTCTCAATAAATTAGAATGAGTCCACCAAAATAAAACTCATCAGTAAGAAGAGTTATGCTATATTTTTCATGAGTTCTCTTTTTTGTTGTCTGCTAGAAAACTTGGAGCTATTTAGAAATGACGTTTTATTTTACTTGTTCAAAACTCTCTATTCTATCATCACTATTCTACTTTACTCATGTTCTATTAACCTGCTTTAAAGGTTATATTGTACATCAAAGCTATTGTTTCTGTGGAATGTGCATATGTGTATGAATTCCACATGACCACACAAGTCATGAATGAGAGTTCAGATTCAGAAATAGACCTGCATTTGAATTACATAACCTCTCTATTCTCTAATAAAATAAATTATTCCTAGCACACACTTTGTTAATTCAATGGCAATTTATTGGTGTTATAGTTATTTATGAATGGTAATAAGAGCTCTAATTTCCCATCCCAAATATTCACCTATAAATCCAAACTTTGTCTAAAGTCATGATACCTTCAGTGTCCTCATTCGGGGATGGAGGGGTCTAATAACAGATAAATGGTTCTGACTTTCCTTGAAACCTATTTTGAGGGACTTTTCTTTAATTCATAAAAATCCAGAGGCCTATTTTGTCTCCCAGTGATATTAATAATAACAGCGTGAGCACCACAGCACCTCTGAGAGCAGGGACCCACATTATTCCTGTTATTTTGCTTGGCAATGTCTTTACTAAGCAGCATCTACTCCTTACTGGTCAATATCCCCAAAAGTTATTACAGAAGATGTGGAGTCTTATTTTCAATGGACTCCTCACTCCTGAATATGCCAGATAGCAATGAGGGTTGTATATCTTTAGTGCAGCTCTCTCTGGTTTTCTTAGTTGAAAAAACACACTCACAAACACACAGAGCAAAACAAAAACTTAAGAGATGACTTTTAAGCTAAGGTTTTTCAGGTTTTTCTTCTTGATTTGGTTTAAAATGCAGAGATGAGTCTACATAATATGCTACTTTGTTAAGTTTATTTTGTGCAGCCATAGATTCAAATATATTATGCCTTTATATTTTTAGGTCAATGATGAACATAAGTCCAATAAGACACATGTTCAATGACAGAGAAGATTAGTTGATGCCATCTGAAGCATCAAAATTCTAAGTCTTAGTATAAAATTAGGGGTTAAAAATTTTGGTGATCTCAAGACTTAGAAATGTTTGATAGAATTGTACTCTCTTGGTAGTTATTTACTGTAATTAAATGATTATTTTTTTCTGATTATTTCTAATATTTAGTATTGATTCCAGTTAGCTATATAGTAATCAGATATAATTTAAGATTCATACTTTGTCTATCCATTAAGAAATTGTATTGTGAATTTAAAGAGAAGGTTGATAAAACAATTAGAAGAAATTTTAATTTTTTGGTAATTGGATTAAAGGAAATGTCAGATGTTAGTGATTCCTTGTGCCCCATTACTCAGCTGTGCTTTCCACTGCCGAATTTGTGGAGAATTTGCTCATTGGAAAATCAGAGAAGTAGAAATAATTTTAAGATATGCTCTAAACAGAATATAAAGCCTTAGTCTGTCTCCAGAGCTTACACTAAGTTTATTGGTTTATTACATCCTAAGACCTCAGTATAGTGCTGTGTATTAAAATTAATTATGACTTGAGAGTAACTTTAAATTGCTTATATTTAATTAATTTCAATGTGGATAAAAACAGTTATGAATTTTGTCTTTGAAAATGCTAGAGATTGCCATAGATAGATTATCTTATTAGGGAATAAACCCTGATTACATTAAAATGTTTTCAAATGATTTAAATTTAAAAGCCAACAAATTCAAATAGTACCTTGGCATTTCATTGTGAGAATCCTATTGGGTCATATGTGTTCTAAGTAGTGTGTCTGTTAATGTTTACCACAATTACATTTGATTTAAAAAAAATTGTAGCCCAGCAGGTGGAAGTTTGTAGACTATAGTTGTAGACTGAGGAGTGATTCAAAGCCAAAACAAATATTACATAGGCACTTTAAACAGGAACATGATGAAATATAGTACAGAAAGAGAAGTTAAAAGAACAGGAGAAACACACAAAACATGTGTTAAAAGGTGTGTCCTATAAACACTTATAAATTGCAAGTTTTAGAAATTAGCTGTGTATTTTACAAGCCAAAATATATATTTAAACATTCAGTAAGATATGTATCATTTTTCATTACTTTCTTTTCCTAGTATATATGTACCCCAGGATGCGCAAGAAATCCATGTTGGTTTCTGAAGAATGTTCGCTTAATCCGTCTGTACCCTTGCTATGGTGGATCCATCAGCCATGATATTTGCCAAACTATAGTTCCTCAACTCTTAAATTTAAATATGTGTGGCAATTGGGATTTACAGGTAATCAAATAATTTGTTTATTTTTAAATTGTCTGAATCAATTCAACATTTGCTGGGTTAAGTATTCATTTTCTAATCACACAAAATATTTTATATCTCAAAACACAAAAGAAATAAAAAATGAATTTAATATTCTTAATTTTATCTGTTCCCTTAGTGGACATATGCTTATTACCTACTACATTTCTGGAATTCTGGTTGACTACATGGAGAGGCAAAAGTAGGTCTGCATATTTTCCATATTCATATGGAAAATTATACAATAATTAATAAATAATAATACAAGAATAAACTCTGTTTTGTGTACTCACAACTATAAACCTACTTTGGCTCTACCCTGTATAATTGTGAAGAAAACTAGAACTACTTCCTATTCTCATAGATCTGACTATTGTTTTGGTGAGTTATTGGGCAAATACAGTGATAAAAGTATGATTGTAAATTGAAGTAAAGGCTCCTACAGAAAGAAATATTTTCCCATGACTACTTATAACTAAAGAAACTATTTTTAGGGAAAAAAGAAAAGAAAATATGAGCAATTGGGAGAGTAAGTTGGGAGGTCAGATAAGGTTTCCATGATAAAATGACCCTAGCACAGAGATATGGAGAATGAGACCAGAGTTGAGGGTTTGGAGAATTGAATAAATTATGCTTAAAACAAACATAAACAGAAACTATGTTTAAAAGATATAATGTTTTGGTTACGCAAGGAATGTAAGTTTTGGAAATCTGTACAACATAGGACTATCATTAATACTGTACTATGTAATATTTTTAAATTGGCTAAAATGATAGATCTTAAGTTAAATGTTCTTGTCACAAAAATAAAAAAAAATGAAAATGAACAAAATAAATAAAGGGGGTGGGAAAATTTTTTCAGAGGTGGTGGATAAGTTTTTGATATTGATTGTGATTATTGTTTCATGGGTACATACTTATCTCCAAACATATCAAGTTGTATATATTCAGCATCTATAACTTTCTGTATGTCAATCATATCTCCAATAAAGCAGGTAGAAAAACAACACAAAACACAAAAACACCACAATCAGAAAAGAAAAATACAAAATTAGAAGAGATAAATCCTTTGAAGGCCTGGCTGGAACTCTGAGAACAAGAGTGAAAATAAGGCTCGGGGAGAGAAATATTTTAATGCTAGAATTAAAATATTGGCTTAAATAGCATACTTTTATTCTAAAAGTAATATGAAATCATTGGAAAGTTTGACACATTTAATAAAAAAGACCAAGTGGAGAAATAGATTAGGGTGAAAACAGTAGAGTGTGATAATCATAGCTAAAATAATTAGAAGTTCTTGTTTATGAATTGTATACAAAGAGCAAATGGTAGAGATATCAACAGAAATTCTAGTTTTTTGGTTTTAACACTTGAAATAAGTCTAACACATTTTATTAAATATGTTTTTAATTGTTTTACATACTGCAAGTTCCTATTTCAAAACCTATATTGATGAGCATACTTTTCTGTTCTTTGATTACACTTTGAATACTATTTGACTTAGCTTATGCAAATTAATCCACATTCTGGAAACTGTATGATAGTCCAATTAATTCTATCAAGGAATATTTCTTCTGTCAATGCTATTTTGGAATTATAATTTATCAACAATCAGCAAATTAGATTTGTTATGTCTGTTCTCAAATAATGGCTTACTGTATTCAACTGGCAGCAGCTGCACTTATAATACTACTATAACATTGAAGCAAAGTAGAAGTAAACTAACAATTAGTCTTTTAAACAGAAAACATGATAATTTATTTCATCATGTTCCTAATATGCTATTCTGGAGAGTTAACAACTCCTAATGACAGAAATAGTTATCGGTTCATTAAGTAAATCACTCTGAAGATCAAACATGGTAGTAGATTGCAATGGCTTCTTGATTAGATTGTTAATGATAAAAAGAAGTTTAGAGACTGGTTTATAAATACTTGCTGTTTCACAAAGGACACAAACAAAACAAACAACAACTGTGTATAGAGAAGTTACCTAAAACATCTGGTCTCGGCACTATTTAAGGATTATGTTAGCTCAGAGGTTTAAACTTGGCCACATATTACAGTCACTCGAGGTGGCTTTTAAATGATACTTATAGCTCTACTGTCACTACAGAGCAAACAAACTGGCATTGTAGTGAGGTGGACATAGGAGATCTGTGCAGCCTTCCCAAATGCTTTTAATGTTGCAGATTGAGAAGCATAATCTATTGTTACCAGCCAAATTAGTTCATGGACTTCAGTGCCAACATCATTTTTATGCTTGATTTCCCTTTGTCTCAATGTTGGAATGATGCATGCATATATTTACTTAATAATAAACATTGAAATTCTTTGAGAACTAAAAATTACTAAATATAATATTCACAACAATAAAATAGCAAACATTTTAAGGAAAATAGTAATAAATAGGAAAATTGCTCATTGGTAAAATTATCTTTAAGCAAATAGAATCAATTTTATAAATGAGTAGGACAACATATATTTTCTAAGACATAGGGATAATATGAAGTCAAAATTGTTCATGGATAAATCAGCTTTGAGCAATTATTATCAAAGTAATATAAGCATATTTAATTATAACTTCATGAATCTATGTTCAAACCTTAATCAACATAGGTAATTATTACTAAACTAGAGGCCCCGGTGCATGAAATTCGTGCACTTGTGGGGGGCACCTGCCACTGCCACTGCCACTGAGCTTGCCAGCCATAAGCCTGGCTTCTGGCTGAGCAGTGCTCCCCCTGTGGGAGCGCACTGACCACCAGGGGGCAGCTCCTGCATTGAGCATCTGCCTCTTGGTGGTCAGTGTGTGTCATAGCGACCAGTTGTTCCACAGTCAGGCCAAAACCAGCTCTCCGACATCCCCCGAGTGGTCCCAGATTGTGAGAGGGTGCAGGCCAGGCCCGAGGGACCCCACCAGTGCATGGTCAGGGCCAGGGAGGGATATGGGAAGTTGGCCAGCCAGAGAGGGACCGCAGGAGAACTCCAGGCTGCCCGGCCTGTCTAGTTCAGTCCTGATCAGCCAGATCCCAACAGCAAGCTAGCCTACCTATCAAAGCGTCTGCCAACTGGTGGTCAGTGCTGTCATAGCGACTGGTTGACCAATTGACTGGCTGCCCCCTGGTGGTCAGTGCACATCATAGCGAGCAGTTGAGTGGCCTTAGCATATGATTAGCATATTATGCTTTGATTGGTTGAATGGCCAACTGGACGACCAGACACTTAGCATATTAGCCTTTTGTCCAAGCGAAAGAATTCAGTGTGATACAGCTCAATTATCAACAAATATTTCAGTAGCGGCACAAAAATTATTTGTTATGGTTAGTACAAAGTTTAAACAATGCAACTACTTTTGGTAGTGTTTTCAAAAACAGATTTTAGAATAAGTGCAAAAAAAGAAAAAAGAATGTAACTAGAATGACACATTTAATGTAATTCTCATTATTTTCTAGTTGTTGCTATTAAGATCGTTATTTCCTATTATTCCATAAAATAATATTGAAGAAAAACATTAAAATCAAGCTGGCAAGTTTGCATGGGGTGCATTAATTTTACCAGCAGTAAAATTATTTTAATTAAGAGAATTTTCTACCAACTAAATGAAGTGCCTTACACGCCCAATCAATTCTTGCCAATATGATTGCTCTACAAATAAGGATAGTAATTAATTAGGAGAAGCCCCTTCAAGGACAACTGGCCTATGATGCACAACTTGAGAAAGAGCTGACATGCACTGTTTCTCTTCAATGTCATCATCCGTGTTCATTATATGTGTTATTAGGTTGGAGAAGAGATGACACTGACAGAGTGGATAATGGGTTGTGAAGTGAAATGAAAAAGTATGAATTATAGTTAAGAAAAGATAAAGTCACAGCAAAAAGGAGATAAGTTCTCTTTTTATACTTTTCTTTTGTTTAAAGCTTGTGAACATTACAATTTAGGTGACTAAATTAAACATATACATTTAAAATATTTAATATGTGCTAGTGAACATCTTTTTGAAATGAATAGTGATTGCTGCATTTGTGAGTTGCATTATAAACCAATATTACTTTTAACTCCTTATTTTTCTTTATGAAATGGTGTTTATTTCTTGTGCTAGAAGATAGTACAAGTTATTAATTATAATATATTCATTATAAATTACTTTTGTTATAATTATTGAGAGAGTAAAAAAACAATAATTTCCTTAAAAGTATTTTTATTACTATACTGCTTCACTTGCAAGTCTTTTTTTGTTGTTGTTAAATACCTGCTATTATTTTTATATCCATTTAGGGTTTTAGAGTCTAACATCAAGATTCTTTTAAAAAAATAGTTGAGAAGAAAAGTTTTAAAATGTGGTATAGTATATTTACATATATTACACGTAATATTTTCAAAACATTTTCACAGTAACGATTATATTTGTTAATATATACACGAAAATAAATGGCTTTTATGTAAATAAGAAAAAATTAAATGTCATAATGGAGGAAAAACATGTCACGTACACAGCAGTTTCAATATTTAAGTGCATAGGACTTAAATGAACAAAGATTGTAAATTCAAAATTGAAAAAACTTAAAATATTGCCATAGTATATTTACAAACACAAAAAATCTGAAAAAATTTTTACAGATGAACCATGCTATTAGAGAGGAGACCTAATATATTAAAATGTTCTGAAAAAAAATTAAAAATATATATATATATATATTAGATAAATATAGATAAATATAGATAAATATTAGATATATATATAAATAAATATATATATATATTAGAGGCCTGGTGCACAAAAATTTGTGCACTTGGGGGGTTACTCAGCCTGGTCTGTGCCCTCTCGCAGTCTGGGACCCCTCAGGGGATGTCCACCTGCTGGCTTAGGCACGCTCCCTGGGGGATTGGGCCTAAGCGGGCAGTCAGACATCCCTCTGGCAGCCCGGGAGCCCTTGGGGGATGTCCACTTACCAGCGGGGAACAGGCCTAAGCTGCAGT